CCTTTTCCACCTTCTCCCATCTGAGACAGACGTAGCCGTGGGTTTCGCATTTTGCGAGCTCGCGTTCGCGCCGGCCGGCGGGCGGGGCAAGAGCGCTCGGGTCGGCAGGGCCTCCGTCGCCCGTTCCCCAGCCGGATTGTTCGGCGTCGTGCTGAGCGGCCGCGCGCGCCATTTTCAGTTCTACAAGGGCGCTGCGCAGCTCTGTCTCTGACGTTGGTTTTCTCCGGACAGCGGGGGGCTGAGAGGCGGGCGGACATCGGGGGCGCTCCGTTGTTTTTTACGTCGCCTGGAGCGCGCTTCGAACAACATCAGTTATTACATGTTGAGAAAAAAAGCCTGCGCGTTGCGGCTGTCGCAGGGCGCGCAGGCCCCCGCGCCCATTTTCACTGGCGCCCTGCCTTCCGGGGCAGGGGTCCAAGAGGTAAGCAACTGGCTGTTGGGGAAGCGGACCAGCCATTTCTGGGGGGGCACGGGTCTGGGGGAGCTGGGCGCGCCCTCCTAGCTGATATTCTTCATTGATGTAATTTCAAGCAGTTGCACCTGAGACTTCGTGCTGTTGTGATGCTGTAGGGTAGCAGCGACGGCCTTGGAATCAGCCCTGAAGGTGGCGCGAAACCCCTCGCTGGACAGGGCCGGAAATCCCGCTCGACCCAGCGCTGGGATGGCCGTCTCAAGCTAGCGCCACAACTACGACAGCTATGCCAAACAAACATGAGCGCGAAACCCATGGCACCCCGATGTCAGGACACCGGCATTTTCGCATCCTGCACCTTTGGCTGAGGCGGCCAAGCGCTTCCATGAGGGCGGCGCGCAGGCATGGGGGCAATCGGGTGCGAAACATCGCAGTCGCTTGACATGTGACAGCTTCACGCGCGGCGATAAACGGCGCTGCGTCGACAAATTCATAAAACATATCCCACAGACCCGCGCCTCGCAACAACGATCGAAACAAACCGAGCCCGCCGCGCAGCGCGCAGCAGGGAGACTGCGCCACTGCTTGTCCGAGGGGCGCCACCCCGACAGCACTTGAACGTCGTGCGATATGATTTGAACCGGAGCGCGGGGCCCTCGAAAATCGAAGGGCAGGGATGGCCGCTAGCAACCGGCCGTCGGCGCGAAACCGTTGCAAATATTCGGAACGAGCGTGCGCCTCGCTGCGAAACTTCCCCTTCCAGCCCTGACCACGCGGGAGACGACGACAGCGAGAATGCAGAGCAGGGGTGGAGGAGGGGCACAAGGAAAGGACATCGACGCAGGTGGTGAGGATGATAGAGGCGACGTGGGGAGGGGGGGGGGGGGGGGGGGGGCGTGAAAAATATGGGGGAGGAGGAGCGGGGGAACAGGGGGGGGGAGGAGGGGGAGGAGGAGGAGGAGGAGGAGGAACGGGCATGCCAGACACGCCCTCGCGAGACCGCAGGGCGCGCTGGTCCTCCGCAGCGACGGCGCGCGAGGATGGGGGAGCCAGGGGGTGGCGCTCGGCCGCCCAAAATTCCCCGTGCAACCCTTGCGCGTCGTTTTTTCTGCCCCACCAAAGTGGTTTGTGCCCCCCCCCCCCCCAGGGGGCTTCCAAAGTTGCAGTTTGTTTCCTCACTAGCGGAACACTACTAAGTGAGCTTTCTTCGTCCGCTCGAGGAACGCTACAAGGTGTGCTTTTTCGTCCCCCAGAGGAACACTTCCGGGCATGTCAAAAGGGAGCCAGACTGGTTCCGCCTTTGCGGCCATGTCGCGAAGACTGGGGGCAGTATCGCTCAAGGGGAACACTACTAGGTAGTAAGGCTGCCGCGGCGGTGCCTGCAACAAGCTTGCACGCATATTTTCGGAGTTCTGTGGATCCCGTGCCCGCCCCCGAATTATTGCCCCCCCCGGGCGGCGCCCTGTCCTGCGGGGGCCCGGGAGCCTCGGCGCCGCTGACCGGGCAGCATCCCATGCCAATGCCCGCCGCCCGGCGGCAATGGGCCGGGGCGCCCCCATGCCCCATGCCGTTGGACGGCTTACACGCCCCCACCTTCTGGCCGTCATACACGGAGACCCCTGGCCGACGGGAGACGCTGCCCGAAGGCAGAGAAACAGGCAGAACGACCCCCCCCCGCTTCGACACCAGCTACCGCGCCAAGTTTTTATGCCCACAGCGCGTTCAACGCTCTCCCTGATCGCGCCCGCGCAGCCCAGCGAGCGCGCCTCCGCGCAGCGCAGAGGCACATATTCATCTGGCATTACCTTGGCAGCGCGCGAGTCACCGATCGGGAATTCCCGCGCGCGCGAACTTCGCAAGCATATAATGAGCCGAGAAAAATGTGCGACGAGTTGCCAATTGCTGTAACCAAGTTCCTGCGAAACGCGGTTCTAACTTCGCGGTTGCAGGCCCCGGCGGACTTAGCGGCAGCGCTCCGCGTCCAGGCGCTACGAATCGGGGCGGCTTCGCACGGACTGGAGCGCATGCTGAACCGAGCTCGCGAAGCCGATGGCAACTAAGTTCAGGCGATCGCCCGCGCCAGTCGGAATCGCGAGCGGACTGCCGTCTGACATTGGCACGTGCGCGCCGACGACATGCAATCGCGCCTGCGCTGTGGGGGGCACTCGTTTGGCGCGGCGTGCGCGACGCAGCTGAGCAGGCAATGTCTGTCAGTTTGTGCGTGCCGCGCCCAACAAACCGCGTGATGGCTCAGTTCAAAATGTCCCACTCGCTGCGTGCGCAACGACCTCGGGCGCGATGGCCGACGCGCTGGTCGCGCTCATCGAGAGAGCGGGGGCGCCAGGAAAGCAAATATTGGATCTGATGGGTACCCCAGGAGGGTAATGACCACAGCTCCCCCAGTTACCGCTGGCCGGGGAAGGAAGTGGAAAGAGGCGGAGGCGGGTAGGGCGCCGCCGCTTTTACTCCCCATTCGGGCGCGGCTGGGCGAACATGCCCGCCAGCGCTCGTGGGGCCAGATGCGGTGGGTCCTCGGGATAGTGCTAGCGGCGGCCTCTGCCCGGTCCAGTGCCACGACCCGGCAGGCTTGTCTTACCTTCCGGGTTTTCTCTTCCCCCGTCCTCTCCTCCAATTCGGCGCATGGCGTCGATGATGGTTTATTTCGTGCTCGTTCCGCTGTCAGGGCACACCGAGAGGGGAACGATTTGAAGCCAGATTTGTCTCCGCGCAAGGTTCTACGCGTGGGATCAACTATCGCAGGTTGTCCCCAGAGTCGTTCCAAGTTTGATGGGATCTTGTGAGGTTCGCTCGCGTTTCGGCTTGGAGCACCATCCTGTTCGTTGGGAAACGTTGATACAATACAGAAGGTCAATAGTTCTCGCAATGGACTGCTTTTGTCTCGGGTCCTTGCAAAGCCCCCTGCCGAATTCGAGCCGCATGTTAACACCGTATTCTTTGATAACGACGCGAGCCTGTCGTTTTTCAGCCGCGTTCCATCGATATTGGTGCAGCGCGCTCAGTGCGTGCAAGGCGGATCCGATAGTGCTGCAGTACGAGATTGCTGCGCGGCGCATTGAGTATTGAAACAAGATATTGACGTAGGATGACGGTGATCGTGCCTGTCATGAGGATTCTCAAGAGTATGATGACCATGACGACGATGTAGTTGACGACGTCGACGCCGCCGCCGACGACCTCGACCACGACCACGACCACGACGACGACCACGACCACGACCACGACCACGACCACGACTACGACCACGCCGCCGCTGCCGATGACGATGACGATGCTGATGATGATGATGCTGATGGGGGTGATGATAATGATGATGATGATGATGATAATGCTGATGATGATGATAATGCTGATGATGGGGATGATGATGATGATGATGATGATGATGGTGATGATGATGACGTGGGTGATGATGCTGTTGATGGTGGTTCATGATTATGATGATGCTGATGATGCTGACAATGACGATGCTGATGACGACAATGCTGATGATGATGATGATAATGCTGTTGGTGATGATGATGCTGATGATGATGCTGCTGATGGTTGTGATAGTGGTAATGATGATGAGTAAACTCATGATGATGATGATGATGATGATGATGATGATGAGGGTGATGACGAGGATGAGGACGATGATGCTGCTGATGATGCTGATGACGCTGTTGATGCTGCTGATGATCTTGCTTGATTATGAAGATGATTGCTCATGCTGCGGATAGTGATGATGACGATGGTAATGCTGACGATGATGATGCTGGTGCTGATGATGCTGCTGATGTTGATGGTGATGAAACTGATGATGCTGATGATGATGATGATGAGTTCGATGATGCTGCGGATGATTACGATGAGGATGACGGTGGTGCTGATGCTGATGATGATGAGGATGAGGATCATGATGATGATGATGACGATGATTATGATTATGATTATGATTATGATTATGATGCTGAGTATGATGATGATGGTGATGATGACGATGATGATGATGATGGTGCTGATGCTGATGATGCTGATGATGATTATGCTGCTGATAGTTGTGGTGGAAATGATGATGCTGATGCTGATGCTGATGCTGATGCTGCTGCTGCTGATGATGTTGATTATGCTGCTCATAGTAGTGCTGGAAAGGATGATGACGATGATGATGATGACGATGGTGATGATGATGATGATGATGATGATGATGATGATGATGATGATGATGATGGTGATGGTGATGGTGATGGTGATGGTGATGGTGATGGTGATGATGATGATGATGATGATGATGATTGTGATGATGATGATGATGATGATGATGATGATGATGATGATGATGATGATGATGGATTGATGGTTGTGGTAGTGGTGAGGAGAAGGAGGAGGAGGAGGAGGAGGGGAAGGTGGTCATGATGGTGGTGGTGGTGATGATGACGAGATGGTGATGCTGATTGTGAAGCCGAGGAGGGGGTGGAGGAGGAGGGCAAGGTGGACTGGAGCAGGAGGATTTGGCGTTCGTGCCCGCCGGGTCAGGTCTCGGGGAGCAAGGGCTAAGCGGGGCGTCCGCGAGAGCCCGCCGCGAGAGGCGCTGGCAAGATGGGTCAGTTGTCGGTCCTGGACACAATGTGCCGCGCGGTTGAGGCGCTGCAGGACCGCCCGGAGTGCCTGAAGCATTTACGCCCACGATGTTGTTGATGATGATCGTGGTGATGATGATAATGATGTTGATGTTGATGTTGATGATGATGATGATGATATTGTTGTTGTTGCTGTTGATGATGATGTTGTTGATGATGATGATGGTGGTGATGATGGTGATGATGGATTATGTGGCCCTGGTTGGCCGCTTACATCAAAGTGGACTGTATGAACAATGACGATGATGAAGATGATGATGCTGATGATGCTGGTGATGCTGATGCTGATGATGATGGTGGTGGTGATGGTGGTGATGATGATGCTGATGATGATGATATTGATGGTGATGATGATGATGATGATGATGATGATGATGATGATGAGGATGAGGATGAGGATGATGATGATGATGATGATGATGATGATGATGATGATGATGCTGATGATGATGTGGCCCTGGGCGTTTTTTTGTTGCCGTGTTCACTTCGGTGTGTTGTTTCTGGTTTGTTTCGTGCCTGCAGATCTCAACAATAGTCAAAACCGCTGCAACGCGTTTTTTTCAGCGTTTCTGGATGACGTAAGGTTGAACACGTTACGCAGCCCATTGCGTTACATGCAGTCGAGTTGTAGGTCGTCCTGCCAAATCCAGGGTATCTTTTGCGTTCTGTGCTATTTAGCCTCCCATGCCGTTTGAATCCTATGGCAATGTTACCCGTGGGATTGTCTTGTGTCCTCTAGCGTGTCCTCTTGCATCAAACTCGACTTTGGGAACAAAGATGATGCTGCTGCTGATGATGGTGATGGTGATGGTGATGGTGATGGTGTTTAGGATGATGAGGATATGCTGATGATGCTGATGATGCTGATGATGTTGACGATGATGATGATGATGATGATGATGCTGGTGATGATGATGATGATGATGATGATGATGATGATGATGCTGCTGATTATGATGATGATGATGATGATGCTGATTGTGGTGATGATGGTGGTGTTGGTGATAGATTAGGTGGCCCTTGTTGGCCTCTTACATCAAACTCGACTGTATGAACAATGAAGATCATGATGTTGATGATGCTGCTGCTGATGATAATGATGGTGATGGTGATGAGGGGAAGGAGGAGGTGGAGGAGACTGGCGCGGGCTGCTGGCGGCGCGGAGAAGCGGTGCTTCACCACCAGCGCGATGAGGGAACGTATTCTTTCTCTCGTCTCTCTCTTCTTCCCTCCTCTCCCTCGCCATCTCCTCCCCTCACCCTTATCACTGAGTCCTCCTCCTCCTCGTCGCCGTCGAAGTCGCCGTCGCCGTCGCTGTCGCCGTCGCCGTTGCCGTCGCCCTTCTCCTCCTCCTCTGGCCCTGGTGATCTGCAGCCCCTGAGGACCAGAATCGCATTCACCGCAGCGAGATCAAGGCTTTTGCCGGGGGCGTCGGCCTGGGGGGAAGATGTTGGATGGATGGAGAGGTACAGAGGGTCGGGAGTGGATGAGTGCAGTCCTGAGAGGGATCAGAAGGGGAGAGTATTGAGAGCGAAACAACATATCACATCTGATCGGCAAGCGCTCGCAGCGCTTCAGGTGTTGAGGGGATGAGGGGAGGGGGAGAGGGGATGGGGAGAAGATGATGAAGAGCGGATGTAAAGAGAGAGAGAGAGAAAGAAGAGGGCGAGGCTCTTTCGGGATGTACCGGTTCTTCCCTTCATCTTTGATAGGCGCTGCAGGCGCAGCATGTGGAGCAGAGAGACGTCAGCAACGATCTCGCACGCGGACTCGAAAGCGTGAAGGAGGACGTTCGCTTGCTCCAGGCGGTGCCGTTTCCACTTGCTGCGGACCTGGAGGATCGGGCTTCATCTTCGCTCCCTGCTGTCTCCTTCGTTGCTCATATTTTTCACTCCCTCCCCCCCTCCCTCCTCACCTGTGATCCCTGCTCCCGGTCCATTTCTCCCTCGTCTGTGTTCCCTGCTCCCTCCCTCCCCCCGTCGCTCCGCCCTCCCTTTCTCCATCTCTTCTCCCTCGTCCCTCCCTCCACTCTCCCCTCCCTGTCTTTCCCCCCGCCTCCGCAGCCACTCCCCCCCCCCCTCTTTCGCCCCCTCCCCCCCTCATCCCTGTCTCCTTCCCCTCCCCACTATCTCTGCTGTTCCCTCCTTTACCTCCCTTTTCCTCTCTCCTCTCTCCTCTCGCACGAGGCAGGAGTGCCCAGGGCACCGCCTCGCACTGCACTCGAGATCTGGCCCTCGGAGGCCACTCCTGGGCCCCCGCCCCCGTGAGACCCGGCGCCCAGGCCGTCCCCGCCCTCGCGAGCACAGGGGGGAGGGTCGGAGGACGCCAACCAGCCAGAAACCTACGCCGATCTCGGCTTGGGTACAGTCGGGCCGCTGAAGAAGGAACCCTTTTCGTTTGGGAGGGGCTCCGTGTTCCTTAGTTGTCTTACCGTGCTCCTTGGGTTTTCGTGAGGTTTTCCATGGCAAATCGGAGTGTGACTTATGGGAAAGAAGGACCTCGTTCCTAATTGTTCGTTCCTTCGGTCAACGCCCCGACTGTGGTGGGGCGCCCTCTTGGGGAAGGCACCGTTCCTGGGCGCAGGATCGGCCCGTCCTGGATCGGGGCAGGCACGCAGCTGACCCCGGTCGTGAGGAGGCGGGATCCCAGAGCGCGCGTGAGCTCTGGAACGGCCGTGGCGCCCGAGACACTCGTCGTCGTCCTCGTTTCCGAAGCATCCTCTTCCGAATCTGTCGTCGTCCTGCCTTCGTCTCAGGCGGATCCCGGTGCGCGCGCCGACTCGAGGGGCTGCGCTCGCCTCAAGGGCGCGGGGCCCGTCCGCAGAGGAGCTCCGCGCCCAGCTCTTCCAGAACTGCGGCGACGTCGCCGCCCTCCGGGACAAGGCCCCTCTCGGAGGGGGGAGGGCGCGCTCAAAGTTTCTCGTCGTTGGCTCGTCGTCGTCGTCGTCGTCCTCCTCCTCCTCCTCCTCTTCCTTCTCCTCTTCCTCCTCCTCTTCCTCTTCCTCTCCCTCCTCCTCCTCCTCCTCCTCCTCCTTCTCCTCTCTTCCCCCTCCCCTTCCCCTTGTCGTTCGTCCTCTTGATGCGGGAGAGCGGGTGGAGCGGGGGGAGGCGCGCGAGACAGGCCACGGCTCGGGAGAGGCCAAAGTACCTTCGAGTGACGAGCGGCTCGAGCTGTCTAGATGGCCCGCTCTAGGCCATGCGATCATAGAAGCCGCCGCCACTGACAGCGCAGGGGCTTCCCAAGGTTCGACGGCTTTTCTGCACGCATCCGCGGTACCATGACTTGGCGCTGGATTCGCTGTGTGTTCTGCCGGTGGTCTTCCCCCTCTGCATGTTCGTGGTGTCGTACAACTTGAATTCCGCCATTTTGGTTTTGCATTTCGCCGGGAAGAACTTCCCAGACGACAGCGCTCTTCTCTGAGCGGCAGCGAGGCACGCCTCCGGTTTGTTCCTCTCCCCGCTTTCTCTTTCTCTCCCTTGTTGCCCTCCCTTGGCGCGCGTAATTCAGGCCGCCGCTTGCTCGTTGCGCCTCTGACGCGTCCCGACTTCCTTCGACGTGGTTGCGATCAGTAAAAGTAACCCCACCAGCCCATCCAGCAACGATGCCTAGACGAGTTGCCTTGATAAGGGATCTGGGGTAGCATGCAGATGAACAAAAGGCCATGGAAACCGTCATACCCCAGGAGGAGGAGGCCGGAGGAGGATGAGGAGGATGAGGAGGAGGATGGTGGAGGAGGAGGATGAGAAGGAGGAGGACGATGAGGAGGAGGACGACGAGAGGCACGAGGAGGAGGAAGGGGATGAGGAGGGGGAGGGGGAGGAGGGAGGAGATGATGAGGAATAGGCGGATGATGGTGGCAATGATGATGATGATGGCGAAGATGATGGTCATGATGATGAGGACGATTATGACGATGTTGATGATGAGGATGATGGTGATGATGCTGCTTATGGTGATGCTGAAAGGAGGACGAGGAGGAGGAGGAGGAGGAGGAGGAGGAGGAGGAGGAGGAGGAGGAGGAGGAGGAGGAGGAGGGAGGAGGAGGAGGAGGTGGAGGAGGAGGAGGAGGAGGAGGAGGAGGAGGAGGAGGAGGAGGAGGAGGGAGGAGGAGGAGGAGGAGGAGGAGAGGAGGAGGAGAGAGGAGGAGGAGGAGGAGGAGAGGAGGAGGAGGAGGAGGAGGGGAGGAGGAGGAGGAGGAGGAGGAGGAGGAGGAGGAGGAGGAGGAGGATCTGGGCTCCAGAGAACCTGGCAGGCACCCAGAACTATTGTACTTTCAGTGGAGCCAGCCAGGTTGAGGCAGCCTGGGTCTCAGGCGGGTTTGTCCGCGCTCTTCACTGCACTTTTCTCCATCTCGTTGTACATCTCCGATACATTCCCTCTTTTCACCACGGCTGGACGCAGGGCGGCGCCTGAACCAGCGTGGCATCGGAGACAGAGAACAGCTCGAGGAAGGGCTGGAGTATTATTGAGATTATTTCAGGCGAAGACCTTACCCTCGGCGCATCAGTCCAGACAAATGCCCCCGCATGGCGCAAGAAACAATGGTCCCTGCCCAGGAAAGGCCTGGCGGTGTTTCTCATGTACACGCGAGGTCAATAACCATCATTGGATATGCATATGTGGCCAGCATTACGACACGAACTACCAGAAAGGCAATGCCCATGCTTGGCAATCTGTACGTCATCGCAGCCAATCGAGGACCCGCCCAGACAAAGGCAAGGGCAAGGGCAAAGAGGAAAGAACGACACGACCGAAGGCAGTACGAATGCACATTTCTAGAATTGACCCGATCACCAGAGTGGAGCTGTTGGCACTACCGACCGAACAGGCACGTGCGTTTCAAGAACCTCCGCCCCCTCAGGACATTGAAGCCACCAAGGATTTCAAAGCCAGAGTGTGTCGACAAACCGACTCGCTCGATGCCCTGGGGATCGCAGCCAACGCTGCGGGTCGTCCAGCCGATGAAGACATCACTGAGATAGGGATTCTGAAGTACATGATACAGCTCACGGCCAAGGTCAGCACGCAGTTAGGACAACTCAGAACGAGACGAGATCAAATGCAAGTCCGATTGAAGATACTTCGTGACAAAGCATAGGAGATTCAGAATAAGAAGCAGGCCGCCGCCAAAGCTTTGGAAACGATTGTATCACACATTAATGAGGTCCGCAGTAAATAGCAATACGAAGAGGAATACGACGAGGACGATCACATGGACACCAGTGGTGATTGGAATGCTGGAGGACACCAAGGCCAGGGTCAAGTACCCCACCCCCCGGCCCCGACAATGGCCGCGCCTGCTCCCAGGCCTGTCATGCAGCCGCCTCCAGCGCCGACACCGCCAGCAGCCACATACCAGCAGCGCAAAGGTGCTGGTAAGGCTGCAGTCCTACATGTGCCACTACCTCCTCAGCCAGGATACGCTCGACCTGCGGATGCCTCACAGGACTTAGCAAGACTTGATCAGCAGATGGCTCAGCTCATGTCCATGATGCAGAATGTTATACAGAAGACAGCTGAACAAGACACAGCAATTGTCACAATGGGAGAGGTTATTCTAAAGCTGCCTGAGAAGTTGAGTAACACGGGGGAAGTGTTTCCACAGGGCGCAGGGGACATAGCTCCACCCGTGCAGGTGTCAGCCCATGGAGCTCAGACGAGAATAGAAGCCACAACACCAACATCAAAGGCAGCAGCGACACCAGTAGCCGACACTCCCAAAGCGCCCGCGCCGATTACAGGGACGGCGACGCCAACGGCGCCAATTACCCCGACTACCTCAGAGATTTCGAAGCACTTGTCAAGCATGTTGGTAGACAGCGCGCCTCCAGCCCACAAGAGATGCCCGACGTCGCCAACTCCGCCACCGACGCAGCCGTCACCAGTGGAGGGGCCCAGCTACCTGGACGAGCCGAAGCAGAAGCCCATCCAGAGACTACCCCATCAGTTGTGCACCGGGGCGGAGAGGAAGCCAGCGCCAGAGGAGCCCGCAGAGGAGGTTCCCGCGCCGCAGCCGCTCTCAGAAATTTTGCCGACTCAGATGTTCAGACAGGGAGACCCCGACGACGAAGACGAGAAGGTCAGCCCGCCAGGGGCCTTGATCACGGCGGAGCCAGCAGTGATCACAGTTCCAGAGCCACCTTTTCCTTCGCAGCTGAGTGCGTCCCAAATAAGCCGAGAGATCGCAGCAGTAGATGCAGCTTGCGCGAAGGCCGAGCAGGGCGAACATTTTCCGAGCCCCCCCAGGAAGATTCCCAAGAGCGAACGGGGATCGTGAGCGATGCCAGGGGGGGCTTTATCCCCAAGAGCGCGCTCAAGCCCATCCCTCGCTCCATCCACCTCCATCGCACCAAGAAGGTCCCTCTCACCTTCCTCTGCTTCCGACCCCCTCTTGATTGGCAGGGAGAAGGTCCCGCCTTTTTTGCACCAGAAGCTCATGGTGCTTCCAATGGGCCATGCTGCGTCTGCTCAGACTTGCGCCTCCGCCTGAACCGACAGCTTGGTTCACCCGAGGACACCAGTGCCAGTTTGCTAGCTGTGTGCGTCAATGTCGCGCACGTTCAGCATCGTGCCTATTCGCACATTATGCCGCGCAGAATGTTCAACAGAGCGGGAAGGGCCCTGCGCACAAGCAGGCTTGCACGCAAAATCGAAGAGTTATAGCTCAGGCGAAAGGCTTGGCCGACGATGCACCAGCAGTGGCGTCGGGCAACCACGACGCCAGCACCGGCCTCAGCCGCGCGCTAGAGCCCCAGTTTGAGGAGGAGAAGGACAGGGTTGCGAGAGAGGGGCAGATTTGCTCGGACCCCAGTCTAGGTTCTGTATTCTTTGCTCAATCAACAGTTGCTAGCGCCGTCGCCAGGGACCAAGGTGGCAACGTTGAGCATCAGCCCTCCGCCCTCCAACATGCCCCCCCCTCCCCTCGTGCTAGCATTAAGTGTGAATGGGTCCCCGCTGCGGCGGTGGGCGGTGAGGGCAGGGCAGGTTCTCGGGGGGATGGGGGGGGGGGGGGGGGGGGAGTGTACGTAGAGCTGAGCGCAGGCCCTCCTGCTGAGCTCACGAGCTACATTGAGCTTGGCCTGCTGGCATCGTTAGTTGATGCAACTGCGGCCGATTTTCAACCGGATAATTCAGCAGCGCAGCCAGTTGTACCTTTTCCGGCGCACGCGCTGCGATCGGTTCCATCAGGGCGAGACGCCGTATCACCGAGCAGCTCCGAGCTCTCGTTTGCTCTTTGCTGCGCAGACGCACAGTACTGCAGCTCATAGTCTCTTTTTCCTACGGTATGCTCCTACTCGTTCGTGTGTTGCGCCGATTTGTCACTTGTCGCGTCGCTAGGCCGTGGCTCCGCAAGCCCCCGGAGACTAGAGACCCAGGACCCAGCTACAGAGGGCCCTCCATGTAGGGTGGCTCCCAGAGGGGCTAGGATAGGGTTCCCTGAGAGCCCCTCTGTCTTTAGTGTTCTTTGGGGACATCCTCTTCCCCGCCTTCATCTGCTCCGTTGAGGATCTCCGAGGGTTGCCTCCTGAGTCCCAGACTGCCTTCAAGTTGGCTCCAAATAGACATGGTACATGGACCAGTATTCATATGCTCAGATGGTTCTGTCAAGGATGGAAACGATGAAATAGCGTCGTGGGCCGTCATAGCTGTCAAACAAGATGCGGGGGGATTTTCGCATGCAGGACGGCGCGCGGCGCGAGTAGCGCGCGCTTGCAGGAGCGCGCCGAACGACCAGCTATCCAGCACAGACAGTGAGTACACGGCGCTACTATGGGTATCCGTCTACTCGAGCGACTCCGATCCAGGATGCATGATAACAGTGGAATCTGATTCTTTGAGTGCGGTGAGAGGTTTGAATGGCTTTGCCACTCCGCCTAAGACCGACCCCATTGGCAGGCCTACTGTTGCGTGGTGGAGGACTCTTGAAGAGGTCCGCTCTATTGAGGTTTCCCACGTCAAGGGCCACTCGGGGCACCCGTGGAACTCTCTGGTGGACCATGTGGCGCGGGCTACTCTCCTAGGTAGCCTCCCCCCGCCCTCTCTCCCTCCTGAGCTTGTTGCTCTGATTTCTTACCACGTTGGTGGGGGCTGGGGCTGGGTCGGCTGCCTCCCTTCCAGCAGGAGACAGGCGTTTCCACCATGGGGAGTGGGCTTTCACATGCCGCTTGCTCCTTGCGAAGCCAGGGGGTGCCATCTCGCGGATCTAGCTATCTCGAGGGCCGTGGAAGGAGGTGGGGCCTCTGTCGAGCTCAAAATAGTCCAGTACAGGGTTCGTTCCGCCCCCGCCAAGGATGCACGGGGGTAGCGAGGGCGGCTCCGTAGAGCTCGAACTAAGGCTCTCAGAGAACAACTCCATGCCCTGGGGGTTCACATCGTTGGGGCCCAGGAGACCCGTGATCCCCCTGGGTTAGGATGGCTGACAATTTTATTATTGTTTCGTCAGGCAGCTCAGAACCAGCAGTAGGCCAGCAGGAGGGGTCAGGGGTTGAATTGTGGATCAACCGAACCGCCCCCTATGCTCACATCGGCTCCAGACAGTTGAAATTCCCACCGAGTTAGTTGCGTATATTATATACTTCTCCCAGGACACTGGTTGCCAAACTTGCGCCCCCCCCCCCCCCCTTCACGCTTGTCTTAATGGTCATCGTCACCCATGCCCCACATATTAAGATGCCGTTACAAGAAAGGGAGCAATACTGGCAGACGTTCACACAGCTATGCCACAAGTGGACGCCACAGATACCAATTGGAGATTAGGAGGCGCTCTCTGACAGTCGACAGGAGATCAAGGGTTCTCGCAGGCGGGGGACTGGCCAGGCGAACAGCTCCACCAGGCGATGCTGGCCACAGGACTCATAGCGACCAACGCCATGCTTCCCGACCCCGAGAGCGGCCACACGTACACGGACAACTCGGGAACTCACCACATAATTGACTATATTTTTGCTGATGAGGCAACATTGCAGTGCACTAGAGCCAACCGCGTGCTATACTCATTTGATAATATGATGATGGCTAAAGACCATCGCCCGCTGCTGTTGGAGCTTTCGTGGGAGTGCTCACCATATCAAGCCAAGAAGGCCAGATGTCCCAAACCCGACCCCGACAAGCTTAACTCCCAGGACATGTGTGAGCAGTTCGAGCTCAAGGTTCGACATTTTTGCTGGTACCCCTGGGGGCTCGACATTAACGAACATCTCCATGTTTATACGAAACAAGTAATTGATTGCCTCCGAGGTCTTCGGATATCCGAGAACCCCCCCCAGCCAGGAGTTTGTTTCGTCGACGGCTCTGGATTTTATCTTTCGGAGGAGTGCTGCCAATAGGGCCTTGAGGCAGTTGCTCAACCTCATCAGTTTACCCAGATTGACTGCGAAGGGCCCCGAGGGTTGCCCACGCCATTGTCGGGAGTGGAGACCACTCGAGCGCTTTGCACATCGTGCTGTGAAAGGTGATCTTTCTGCATCTGAAATCAGGTTGCCAGGAACGGCCAGGGAAGCAGTCAAGCCCGTGATCCAGGCAGCGAAGGAGTTCCGTGAGGGCCTGCTACCATCTGTCTTTGTTGCCGGTCATCTTGTCTTTTTCCTCACGTCCAACCAAAAAGTGCTCGCTGACATGTTTGAACATCAGCGCACTTTGCATCTTGAGAGCGTCGCTAGCAAGATTGGCGTGAGTACTGAAGCCAAACAGTCCAATCAACAGTGGAGGCAGGCCAATGCACTATTAGCTGCTGGAGGTCGAAAAAAGGGGCCCAAACCCCCCGATGTTGTGCCTCTCACGTGGGCCCCTGGGGCCGACGGGTCGACCCTCGCATCCCACAAGGAAGTGGGCAATCATATGCAGGAGCATTTCTGCAAGGTGGAGTTCGGTAAGCAGCGACAGATCCGGCAATTGGTAGAGGAGTTTAACAAGATGCCAGAGCTTTTGCCTGTGACGATGGAGCGTGAGGCGGCGATTCTCCCGACGGCCCTGGATATCGAACACATCTTGAGGAGCGTGCACCCTATAAAGGCCCCGGGGCCAGACGGGTTCCCACCCCAGGTCTCCAAGGCAGCTCCTAAGGCCATTGCGGCTACATTATGCCCCATCTTCGCGAAGATTGCCATGACCTCCCGAGAGCCCATCGTTTTCAAACTAGGAGAGGTCACCTACTTCTACAAAGGCTCTGGACCACCCCAGGTGGCAAAGTCCCAAAGAAACATCACCATGGCCAGCTCTAATTGTAAGGTTTATCATAGACGTGTTCGCGCTTTGGCGCTGGATTTCTTTGACGCGCGTCTGCCTGTGGAACAGTGCCGGGGGGGGGGGGGCGGGGCGCTAGTGGTACTGAGATGCCCCCCATGGGCTGCGTCTTATTAACGTGGCTTCAAACGCGGCCAAAACTAGCACGATTTGCTTGTCGTTAGACCTGGTTGATGCTTTTTATAGCGTCATCAAACAGTTCGCCTTGAGTCTCCCTGGGGAGGAAGAAAAGCTTGAGTGTGCGCTGGAAAGTGCTGACCTCCCCGGGGCCCTCTACCATGGTGCCAGAGCAGTGCTAGGTAGCGCCAAACCGTTGGAAGCACGCTTAACGCGTGCCCATCTTATGGCCCTGGCACGAGAGACGCAGAGAAGAACTTGGTGGCATATACGCCAGGCTGATCATTATGTTGCCCCAGCGGGAGGCGCGAGACCAGGTGCGATACCTGCCGCAGACTTTCTCAATCTAGCCTTCAGAGTAGTGCTGCTGCAGATTCGCCAGGCGATTCAACCTTTGCAAGCGGCGGTGCAGGACGCCTTCGAGGAGCCGATGTGTCGAAGCGCCTCTGATGCCGATTGGGGCAGAGCCCAATCATATCTTTCATTTGTCGATGATATAATGGTCAGTCTGTGTGTGGTAGAAGCTAAACGAGTACCCCGGATTGTTCTAGAACTATCGGAGGCAGTCTACGTGGCACGTCTTACTCACGGTCTAAGGCCCAATCAGACCAAGACAAAGCTACTAGTAGGGCTTCGCGGCAACGGGGCGAGATCAGTCGCAGATTTCCCGCGTCTCCAGGGGCATTCGGTTGTTTCGGGCAAGTGGCAGTTTGCTTTCCTTGTGGTCCAGGCCCACAAGACTCTCGGGGTTCAAATGGCGGCCTCGGGTAGCCTGGCGTATGAAATCTCCTCCCGCATTTCCAAAACGAAGGGCGCCCTGGGACCGATTGCCGCCACGATTGCACCTAGAACGTCCTTGTCGTTGCGATCCAAGGTGTTGTATGCCGAGTCCCTGGCATCCTCTGTGTTCCTATGCGCCTGTGCTGTCTGGCCTGCTACCACTAACATGCAGCACAGCAAGCTCGCCACAATACATGCTAGCATCTATCGTACGGCCTTGAACAGGCCACGTATTAATAACGAGCAGGAACACATGATGACAGCACAGGTGTTGCTTGATACTGAAATGCTACCACTTAGGATCATACAAACAGTGGCACGCCCCAGGTATCTTAGAAGGATGATCCATTTTGCTCCACCTCTCATCCGCGTTATGGTTGATTTAACGTGGGAGGCGCCTAAAGGGTGGGCACAATTCCTTGCAGGTGATTACCGGTGGTTGAGATCCCACACGGACCCCTCTAGGAGGCCTGAGGGCCCCACTCCTGAAGACCTCGTCAAGTTCGTCCGGCACCATCCTAGGGATTTCCAGGCGCTTTTGAGGGCTGCCATCAACAAAGCTCAAGTCTTTGAGAGGGACGTTTTGCACGCTGAGATTTGGACACATAGATTGCACAACATTGCCAAAGACACTCTTCTAGGTGCTCCAGCGACCCCTGACGCTGTCGTTGCTTGTCAGATTTGCCAGTTCCAGGCGGACAGCCTTCAGTCTCTGAGAGCTCATGCAGGCAAGCGTCACAAGAAAAATGGATGTTCCCTCGGTATTGGCCGTTGGGAGAGTTTGCCAGATTTGTTTGAAGGGCTTTCATCAACCCCCCGCCTCGCCCAACACCTACGCAACACCCCCACGTGCAGGCTTTCTTTGTTTCTTGCTCGGGAAGCACCGCCCACGGAGGAGGGGGTGGAGGAGTCGAGGAACGAGACCAGGAGCATCACGGCAAGTAACAGGAAGAGAGGCCACCCAGATCAATTTGCATGAGTCCACCGATACAGCTACAAGGACCCGCGTTAGGACCGCGGATCAAGATGACGAGGAAGCAGGCGAAGGAGAGATTGGACAGCTTTGTTGTTTCCATTCCCGACCCGCCCCCTCCTGCTGCCTTATCTCCTCGGACTCTTCCCCTTCGCCCGCTGCGCTCCATCCTGCACCTCTTCTCAGGGCATCGCCGCCCGCTCGACATTCAACGCCAGATAGAACAGTTGCTGGTCGCACATCCGACCAGAGTTCAGGTGTTGAACATTGATGCGGACACAGACCCCGAGGTGAGTGATCTTACCAATCCCCAAAGCGCAAGGATCTGGGCCCCGATGGCGATGTCAGGTCGCATCGCGGGAATTGTGGCGCCCCCCCCCCCCCCTGCGAGACATGGTCCGAGGACAGGTGTCGCGAGGGCACCCCTTGTGCTCCTGCTGGCGCTCCCTCGACCCGCCCCCTCCGCCTTCCCGAGCACCCTTGGGGATTGGGTCATCTGAGCACTCGCGAACACGAACAGGTGCGCTTGGAGAACTTCCTGCTCAGGGCGGCCCTGGAGTTTTTCTATCATGCGTGGATGCTAGGGACCCCTGCCGTCATGTTACACCCCAGTCCCCCCCACGGTGCCCCATGCAGCCCCGAGTTGTTTGACACTGCCACAGGTTCGAAGCCTGCTCGACATGCCAGAGGTTCGACAGTGGGATATGCACCAGTGCATGTTCGGGGTGGCCGTGCTGAACCTACCTCCCTGCTCGTTGTTCACATGCCTACTATACATGAGTTTCTCTGCAGCAGACCAGGGCAGGGTAGATGCAACCATGGTGGCAGGCATAGAGGGATGCCTGGCAGCGAAGAAGAGAGGAGGTGGACCCCCTCTCGTGCGAATGTGTTCCCTCTTAAGCTTTGTGAGTTTCTTGGAGCCTGCTTGCTCCAGCAGGTTCGCAGCGCGTTTCCCGATTCAGTTGCCTCCCACTGTCCCCTGCCATCCCCGCGCCTCCACCCTGTGAGGCAACCGCTCGAATGGAGATGGAATCGAGAGCGACAGTTGCGCAGATTCATTAACCTTGACCCCTGTGATGACCAGTGGGCAGTTCCTCAGGGGTTGCGGAGTTTGCGTGATGTGTTGGACCCATATCTCAATCAGGGACCGTCAACAGACTGCTTGCTGCATCGGCGCAGCAGACACAGTATGACATGACGACAACGGCACCACCTCTTCATTTTCAACAGTCTCTCTCCACTTCCTCTTTGAGTTGCAGACTGTTGTTGTTTCGCCACCCTTTCAAGACACGTGAAGGGCCATGCTGGGAAGGGCAGCTGGGTCCAAGGACTCCGCCAGGCTCGCCCCTTGTTCAGGGCAGTGCCTGCATGGTGCAAATGGCTCCACTGGAGAGCTGCGGCGCCTGAGGCAGTAACGTGGGTTGGGAGGGTACGGGGGAAGGCTACTCTTATCCAGCTCTCTTGTTATTTTTCCTCTGTTCTTTCTCTGGTGTACACCCACCTTAAAAAAGGTAGTACCCTGGTGCACGCAGGCTTCTGTGTGCCAGCAAGCTGTCAGGTCCTCTTGCTCCTGCCTGCCTTGCTGCTGCTCGTTCTTCATTCATTGGTATTCTTACTCTTAGCTCTCCATACAGGCGTCGACTGTCCGCCATCATCCGAACCGAACCGAACCAGGGAGGAGGAGCAGGAGGAGGAGGAGGAGGAGGAGGAGGAGAGACCCCATCGCCATTTTGGCTCAAGGCTCTTTTAGAACCCGAACGGGCTCTAAGGGGGCTGAGAGCCCCGCAGCGCGGGCTCGAAGTGCATTCTGCCAGCAGTGGCTTTCCAGTCTCCCGTCGGACAGACCCACGCCGACACTCCAGCAGCAATGGGAGGCAACTCGTGGTGGGCCTACCAGCAGTCCTACCAGCAGCAGCAGCAGCGCCGACGTCAGTATTGCGTCTGCTCAAGTTGTGGAGAATGGCAATATCTGAACAAGGCGCGGAAGAAGATGTACTGCCTCTGCGGGCAGCCGTTCGTCCTCCCAATGGGCAAGAACCAGGACACCGACGGCTGCTCAGGCCCCAGTGGCAAAGACAGAGAGCAGCAGGAGAAGCCATCCGAGATGAAAGAGATCCTTTCACTCCTCCTCGCGAGGCTCACACCCGAGCAGAAGGACGACCTGGGGGCCGAGGCTTGCAAGAAGATGCAGGGCCTGATCCAGTCGCCGAAGAAGCCACCAGCCGCTGCAGCCACCACAGCTCTGCACGAGGTGAGGCGCCTCGAGAAGAAGCAGGATAACCTCAAGGATACCATCGCCGACCTGGGGGCCAAGATCTCCGCCGCGCAGGATGATTTCGACGCCACAGGCGAGGAGCTCGCGAAGGCCCGCTCCACCTTCGAAGCCGCCAGCGTCGAGGCTGCCCGCGGCTGGGGTGGAGGGGCCCCCATGGAGGAGGATGCCGAAGAAGGACCAGCCATCCGACTGCCCAAAGTGCCAGTCGAGCTCTTCAAGTTCGTCCAAGGCATGGAGGGGGGGGAGGGCAACGCGGCCAAGCAGTTCTTCGAGGGCCTCGAGAAGGCACAAGGCCCGTGGGCGTGATCTTGCAGGAGGCGGCAGGACGCATGGGCAGAAGCCCCGCAGCCGCAGTTGCCCGCGCCCTGCAGCAGGGGCCAGGGGGGGGGACGGGTCCAGGTGAGCGCGGCGCTCGGCCACGACACACCCGCCCCCCCCCCCAGGGCTTATGACAGTCTCACCATCTACCATGCCAATATCACTAATTGGAACAAGAAAGCCAAGGATTATTTTCAAGCTTCGAGTTTTGGGCCTCCAGGAATCATCATGCTAGGGGAGACGCATCTGGTTTCAGGACGTTTGGGAGAAGCCAGGAAGTTCATGGGGAAGCTTGGCTACAAGTGTTACCGGTGCCCAGCAGCTCACACTCCCGCAGGCAGTTCAGGCGGAGTGGGGCTTTTCGTGTCAAAGCAGTTTCACTCGCATGCGCGCATCATGAACGGAAAGGGACAGGCCAAACCATTAGTAGGAGGGACTAATTGGACCGCCTGTATAGTCCGTCTCAGTCAGCGCAACATAGTTCTCATCTCAGTCTACTTACAGTCGGGAGTAGGCTACAATGCTTTCAACAACAAGGTGGTCCGAGAGATCACCATCTTCCTCAAGCAGCTCAAGCTCCCTTTCGTCATCGGAGGAGATTTCAACATGACCCCTGAGGAGCTCACCAACGGGAACCCATGGGTCTCCAGGATCGACGGCACCATCAAGGCTCCAGAGATCCACAGTACATGCTCGGGAGGTAGGCTCATCGATTTCTTCATCATCAGCAGTTTCTTTGGAGAATATTTCAGGGTAGAGACCGACCTCGCCAGGCCCTGGGAGCCGCGCATCGGCTTGCGGGCGACCTTCCAGACAGAGATCATGATCAGGCAGGGTTGGTTTCAAAAGCGAGCAGCCTCGCTCCAACCGCCAGCGGCTCCCGCGGCACCGTGGCATCACTACTGGGAGCAGGCCCAACTGGACTGGCAAGGTCCGCCAGAGGTCTCTCACCCCTTTGCCGCCGCCCACTCCTCCCCCGACCTGACCCACCAGTACGCCCGTCTTAGTCAGGCTCTGGAGGGGTGGTGTCTTGGGAGTCCGCCGAGCTGCCCACAGAGTTTTGGGCGAGCTGAAGGTTTCCAGTGCGATTGGAAAGACATCTGCCCTCCCACTCCCTTCCAGCAACGCCTACACCCTGCCAGTCATCAATGGGGGGTACTCCAGCAAAGGGCCAAGGATAGAGACCAGCTCCGCAAGGTTAAGCCCCGCTCAGGAGGTTTCCAGAGACTCCAAGGGTACATCAACGACATTGTCCATCAAGGCCTACCATGGCCCCCATGGGACCCTTCAGGATTTCCAGGACCTGATCAAGAAGTACCTCCTCGGGAACCTCCAGGAGGACCAACTCGAAGACGCCTTCTTCCAGCTAGAAGTTACAGTCCAGTTTTATGAGAAAGAGGCTATACGGCAGCAGGATGCTGCCTTCCAGTCGTGGCTCGAGGACCCCCTCGCCCGCGGCGGCGGCGGCGCCCACCATATCACCAAGATCCCAGGCCCTACCCCCGAGGGGGACAACGATATCTTCACATATGCCAATGACAACATAGTCACGGACCCCATGCAGGTCTTAGGTCACAAGGGCGAGTTTTGGATGAAGTACTGGGACCCAGATGGAAACCACATGGAGGTCCCCCCCGAGGCTCAATGGATTCAAGAGATCAGGCAGCAGGCGCGGGACTCTTGGGATCAAGACGACCAGTTCACGCCTACCCAGGTAGCAGCCGCGCTTAAGTCTTTCCCTGCCAGCTCTGCGCCTGGCGCCGACCAGTGGCGTACCGCAGATCTCCGCCGACTACCAGAAGCAGGACTCGCAGAACTAGGCTGCCGTCTCTCGGATAAGTCAGTCGTTCTGGCTAGCTCCCTGGACCTCAGCAAGGCCGTCGCGGGCACCCCCCAGGACCACGGGATCCGCATCAAGCCCCTCGGTCACACCAGGGACCTCGGGATGGATGCCTCCGTGGGACGTCGTCGGATCCTCATGGTTCGCAGGAAACGTTTCACCCTAGGACCCCCCAGGACAAGGAACATCAAGAAGCTGGCCAGGACAACGACCACGGCACGATCTCTTTATCGCACAGGAGCGCAGCCCCAGATGTTATGGGGCATGCAAGGTCACGGGACCTCACCGTCAGAAGTGTTTTTTTTCTGCGCCGCCAGACCGCATCTGCTTTTGGAGTATCTAAGTCAGGAGCTTGCCTCGCTACTGGACTCCACACACTCAAAGCAGGACCCGCAGAAGTCGACCCCGCAATATTCCTCAGGAAAAACCTATTCCAGACTTGGTTCATATTCATCAATAACGAGCGGGGCCTCCTGGGAGGAATCCAAGGAGCATGGCCCCCGCTACGAGACAAGCTTCGCTCGCAGTATCGGTGGCTTCGCGTGAAGTCGCACCTGTCAGCGATCATCGCCACTCTCTACGACGTAGGTTGGGGGCCCACCACTGCCTGGCAGTGGTCGGACCCCTCAGGCCAGGTTTTCAGTGCGAAGCCGCTCAGCTGGGACCAGCAGCAGCGCTTCCTCTATCACATGCAGTTCCTCCTCTCCATGCGCCTCTGGAACCAGAGGGCCACCAAAGAAGAGTACCTCGCCAGGCTCGCCTCCTACCCCTCCGCCTTTCCGCAGTGGCCTGTTCCAAGTGCTGGAGTGAAGAGCGCAGATTTGAAGCAGGGCTCCAGGACCACGCCGACTGCCTACTTTGTGGTCAGGCGAATGCGGACGACCTTCACAAACTCTGGACCTGCCCCGAGCTCCCCATCGTTAGGTTCAGAGGCCATCCAGAAGACCCAAGGTTCAGTCCATCAAGCAGTCCAGGAGTGCCCCCAGAATGCATGTCTCTGGCTCCGAGGGATCGTACCTGCTAAATGGGCCCTGCAAGCAGCCCACCAACACATCATGTCCTTAGACGATGACATCCTCAAAACAGGAGCTTTTCAACAGCACGACAAGCTCAACCACACAAACGTCCTCATCGGGGCCACCGACGGGAGCGGAGGGGAGCACACCGTGGATGCACGCCTCCGAGTCTGCGGTTGGGGGGCCGCCCTTTGGACATCCTCTTTGCAGTTCATCGGCTCACTCTTAGGGGGGATCCGAGGCCAGCAGTCAGTTCCCCTCGCTGAACTCGCCGCTGTCATCAACCTTCTCCAAGCCACAGAAGGACCCCTTGTCATCGTCACCGATTGCCTCTACGTCATCAAAGGCTTCTTGAAAGGACCCAGGGCCCGACACGCTCGTAACCCCCTGGCTTGGAGGAAGTTCTGGACGTATGCATCAGCCCGCGCCGCGCAGCTATTTTTCCAGAAGGTCAAAAGTCACCCGACGGAGGAGGAGGCAGCCAACGAGCCGCCCTGGACGCTCTACATGAATGAGCAAGTGTATGACATTGCCAGTTGCGCTGCCCGTCGACGGAGCGCACCGCCCGCTTTGGTCCGCCAGATTCAAGGGGCAGACATCCGCGCAAACATGATTTGCGACCGTCTCTCGGCAATCCAGACCCACTACTGGGAACTCAAGGACCAGTTCCCCCAGGAGGGCGAGGAGTCGAAGGAGGAGCGTAGGAGAGTGAGAGCCCTTAGAAGTGCACAGGCCCTCCAGGATGCCCTTCGGAATACCTCCCACTGTCTTTTAGCTACCCCTGTGGCTCCCGAGTATACCATAGCCTGTCTTAGGTGTAAGAAGCAAGGTAGTGTCAAAATTAGGATGCCCACTTGGTTAAAGAAACCCTGTCGGCCCCACGTTTTGGCACTGCACCCGTCCCACCATCCCCGTTTGCAAGTTACCAGCGGCATTTGCTGGTGCAGTCGTTGCGGGGGATGGACCATTCGGGCCCGCAGTAAGTTGAAGTCAGTCTGTGCACCTCCCACAGAAGGGGGGGGGAAGGCAATTCAGAGGTTAGCGCAAGGACGTTTACCTCCAGGCTTGAAAGCCTGGCCCATCTTCGAGGTGCTGCGCTAGATGCAGCTCACAGGACGCCCGCACGCGGCGGGACTCGGTCTTTCCAGGGGAGTGCGCTCGAAGGAGGAGGAGGAGGATGGGGGAAGGGGCGAGCAGAAGGGCCAGAGGCCTCCTGGGTGTCTCTCGGAGTCTGTTCGGATGTCTCGCGGGAGCTTCCTTAAGGCCTCTTGGGGTGTCTTGGGGGCCTCTTGGCGGTCCCGGGAGCTTCTTGGACCGTCTTGGGTGCCTCGGGGGGCCTCTTGGCGGCCTCTTTGGGGGCCTCCTGGGCGCTTCTTGTGGCCCTCTTGGGGTTCTCTGGGCGCTGTCTTGGGGGCCCTGGAGGGCCTTCTGGGGCCGTCGTGGAGGGCGTCGGTGGATAGAAGAGGGTCCTGCAGTTTAGCCCCCCCTCTGGGGCTTCAAAATAGCATGTTGGGACGCTCGTGGGTTTCTCTTGGGCTGATGTTAGGCGATTTGGGGGCCGTATTGGGGGCATCTTGGGCCCCTTTCAGAGCTCTCTTCGGCCATCTTGGGGCCACCATGACGCCTCAGAACCGCATCGGACGTGACAAGGGGAGAAGGCAACAACCATTGATTGCCCGCAGGTGTTTGAAGGATTTTTGGTTCCCCGGGGGGGTCCTGCGGGTGCTCAGTACCTGGGGCCCTTTTGGGGCCTCTTGGAGGCATGCAGTTAGTTATCTTGAGCCATGCAGGGCTATTTTTGAGCGATTCTGGAGGCCATCTTCGGCTCTATGAGGCTCTCTTGGAACCATCTCAGGCTATGTTTGACGCCTTGGCACCTCGCGAAACCCCACGTCCAGGTCCAGGGGAGGGGATAGGCGGAGGGGTCAAGACACCCCTTGGAGAGCAAGCCGTCTAGCTCACTCCCACCCACCCTCCCGACGCATGAGTAACACCGAGCCTGAGCATGTTCAGCGGTCGTCTTTGGATGGACAGCTAGTTATTGGGAGCCAAAACCGGCCCCATGTGCGCGACGTCGGGGCGGTGTGCGCCACGCGTGTCAGGCGCGCCGCGCGCGCCAGGCACCCCTGGGGCCCGAACGTGCCAGGCACGGCTAGTGCGCCAGATGCGCCTCGTGCTCCGCGTGTGCCAGGTGTGCCGCGCCAGGTGCGCCACGTTCGGGGCACGTGCAGAGTGTGTCAGGTGCGCCTGCGCACGTGACAGCACGCATCGGGAAGCATGTCGGTCCCCCACCATGCTTGTCGAAAACCAATGCCCATCATTGTGTCTGGTGGGCCTGCGCACAGCTAGCTATACGCCACCACCCCCGCCGTCCCTGTCAACAACCATTCGTAAGTGACCGCGGGGTGGCCGCGCATGATCCAGATTTATCCGCCAGGTGCATTTTTGTGTTCTTGGTTTATTGGGGATGGTAGCCCTGCGCGCAGCAGGCAATATGCTGACACCCCCGCCGTCCCTGTCAAAAACAATACGAAGTGTTCGCGGGTCTCACGAACATGACTCAAGACTTTGCCCCCGAGTGCACGTTGTATTGTTTTTTGACATGGCTGGTGTGGGGGGGAGCATACTTCCTTGTTGGCCGCGGGTCGCCTGGGGGAGGGGGTGCGTATCAATAGGGAATTGTGATAAGCCCTTCCCCGAAGAGGGATATATCAATTGTTTTTTTTTGAAGAGGGAAGCAAGACATCGTCAGACTACCTGCGCCCAGACGGCAGGTTTGATGTACTTTTGTCTCGGGCCGCTGTGGTATCAGAGAGTGCCCGTGCCCACCTAGCTCTTAAGTTGGGCCTGTATGGCCTCCCCCCGATGGTGCCTCCCAGGCTGCGTGGTTCTGGAAGGGGGGCCGCGGGAGTGGGGTGGGGCCTCGGGGTTGTGTGAAGGTTCCGTTGGGAGGCCCTCGGGATGTGCCCTTGTTTCGGCCGCTCCCGACCACCCCGCGGGAGTAGGATCAGCGCTAGACCTCTAGAAGGGGCTGGCCCTATTTGGTCTTTCTTGGCGGGACGCGGTGGAGCTTGGAGCCTGGGCGGATAACCGCGGGTTTCGGGCCCGCCAGGGTCGGGACGACCCCCCCTCGCCCCTTCGAGGACGTGTATCCATGTGGCACCGTACTCGATGTGCTGGCAGGGGTTCCTGCCTCTCTCCCTTGCCCTTCAGTTCGGACGCACCTCTCGCTGGTCGCTGCGCTCCTCCTCTCGTAGACGACTCCTCGCGCCTTACACCTCAGGGCGTCCTTCAACAACATGCCGTTCAATCCAATCGAATATGGGCGCCTTCCCATGTGCGCGACGTCGGGGCGGTGTGCGCCACGCGTGTCAGGCGCGCCGCGCGCGCCAGGCACCCCTGGGGCCCGAACGTGCCAACCACGGCTAGTGCGCCAGATGCGCCTCGTGCTCCGCGTGTGCCAGGTGTGCCGCGCCAGGTGCGCCACGTTCGGGGCACGTGCAGGGTGTGTCAGGTGCGCCTGCGCACGTGACAGCACGCATCGGGAAGCATGTCGGTCCCCCACCATGCTTGTCGAAAACCAATGCCCATCATTGTGTCTGGTGGGCCTGCGCACAGCTAGCTATACGCCACCACCCCCGCCGTCCCTGTCAACAACCATTCGTAAGTGACCGCGGGGTGGCCGCGCATGATCCAGATTTATCCGCCAGGTGCATTTTTGTGTTTTTGGTTTATTGGGGATGGTAGCCCTGCGCGCAGCAGGCAATATGCTGACACCCCCGCCGTCCCTGTCAAAAACAATACGAAGTGTTCGCGGGTCTCACGAACATGACTCAAGACTTTGCCCCCAAGTGCACGTTGTATTGTTTTTTTGGCATGGCTGGTGTGGGGGGGGAGCATACTTCCTTGTTGGCCGCGGGTCGCCTGGGGGAGGGGGTGCATATCAATAGGGAATTGTGATAAGCCCCTCCCCGAAGATGGATATATCAATTGTTTTTTTTTTTTGAAGAGGGAAGCAAGACATCGTCAGACTACCTGCGCCCAGACGGCAGGTTTGATGTACTTTTGTCTCGGGCCGCTGTGGTATCAGAGAGTGCCCGTGCCCACCTAGCTCTTAAGTTGGGCCTGTATGG